GGCCGGTCCGAAATCGTCAATGCTGTGCCTCCACCAGTCGCGGCTCCACCCGGCGTGACTTCGCCCGACGCGAGCCTGTCTCGGGCTCTCTCTCTCGCCCGACGCTCGAGTCCATTCCCGACGGGGGTCTCCGGAGCCCCCAGGGCCGTCGAACCAGAAGAGGCCGAGGCGGGCCTGCCGGAAGTCGAGGAGAAGGGGGCGGTCTCTGGGGAACTGGCGATCGATTCTCGTGCGAGGGCTCTGGTGCAGAAGGTGCGCAATTATCTCGGCCACCCCCGAAAGGATTCGCGCCCGCGAGTTTTGAAGGCCGCTCAGGCTCGACCCGAGGTTATACGGCGCGTCGCCCCCCATTTCGAATGTCCAGACTGCCAGTCTCAGGCGCGCCCAGCAGAACGGAGGAAGACAGCGATGACGCGCGCCCTCCAGTTTCATCGCATCGTGGCTGTTGGTACCAGGTTTGCCAACTTGTTGGGTGAGTCTGTTCCCACTTTGAACATCATCTGCCACGGTGCGAATAACCAGATGATGACTCGGCACGATGGCGCAGCTCGAGGTGCTAGGTCTACTTTCCCGCAGACTCGGGATGTCGTGGCGAGCGATGGGGGGCGGGAGTTCCTCGGGGAGTCCGAGCGAGGGCCCGAGCAGCATGGCACCTATCTGCGCGCTTGTGACCCAGGCGCCCCTCATCAGAATGGTCGCTGCGAACGTCGCGGCGGCTGGGTCCAGGACTTCCGGGTAAAAGGAGCTAGCGACAAGGTTCTGGCTTCCGTCGAGGATGTTGATTTCGTTATGTGGCAAATCGTCTCTGCCAATCATCAATGCCTCCATAGAGGAGGATTCGCACTTTGCCAGCTTGTCTGCGGGAGAAAGCCACGCGTTCCGGTTGATGTTCTCTCTGGCACGGTTCGCGATCTTGTGGCTGTGGATGACTTGAGTGAACAGGCTTGGTACCAGGACGCTGCTGCCCATGTCGCCCAGGAGTTCTCTCGTGCCCAGGACGTCCGACACTACGCCCGGAAGGACCTTTTCGCCTCGTCGAGCGCGGCCGAGATCGATATTACCGCCAGGCCCCGGGCCCGTGGTGACCAGAAATTCCTTCCAGGATACTGGGTGCACGTTTTGCGCAGATCTCCACGCGGGGCCTCTCGGGCCTCATGAGCTTCAGAGAGTCGGGTGGGTGGGTCCCGGGATGGTGGCGGCGCAACATCAGGGCCGCGTCTGGGTTTAGATCCGGGGGCGTCTGTGGAAGCGCAGTTCAGACCAAGTTCGCCCTGCCGCCAATCCCGAGGCTCGGGCCGCCGAGCTCATTCAAGACGAGGCTGTGCAGGAGCTGATGAGGCAGGTTAGAGGCGGCGCGAATCCCGCGGGAGTCGACGCGGCGCGCGAGGGGCCTCCTCCTCCAGAAGCGTCGGACCCAGCAATCCCAGATTTGGGCTCCAGCCGTTCCGCGCGGGCTTCTCGGGCTTCTCCTCGCCCCACTCCTGTCGACTCGAACGTGCCCATGAGGGTGAGTCAACAGGCCTCGGCGAGGCCACCCCAGGCGCCAGGTGCGGGAGCGGGTCTGCAACCGTTTCTTCCCGTCGACGGCCAGGCGGGTCGCTCGACGGCGACCGGGCCTCCATCCCCGGAGTCGGCCTCTCTCCCCGGGATCCGATGCGCTCGCGCGCGGAGGGTGATCTCGAAGCGGGGTCGAACCCTGGAAATGGGGCCTGACGTCGTGGTTCCCTCCGCCTCTTCCTCTCTTCCCCCCCCCCCTTCTTCTCCTCCGCCTCTCCCCTCGCCTTCTTCTTATTATTCCTCTGCTCCCGTCCCCAGTGGCGAGGTCCAGAAGATTTCAGGGCGCGGTCAGACGCCGTCGTCGGGTTCCCAGCCCGCCGGTACTGTCGCGGGCGTGTCGGCCCCAGGGACCCCTGTGGGAAATCTCCTGGGCGCTCGCTTCAGGGGTGGAGATGCAGGCACCCGCGGCTCGGTGCTTCGTGAGCGCCAGCTGCGTCAGGACCAGGAACTTTCATCCAGGTGCAGGGCCTTGCCCTTCCCCGCTCGAGTTGAAGGCTTCGGGGGTTTTCCGCCCCCGGGGAGGTTCCAGCAGGCCGTCGCGCAGTGGGAGCGGAATGTAAGATCGAAGTTGAACGAGACTGTTGGTCTCGACGAGCCATTGGACATGGTCGATGTCGAGGTGGGCGACGACGATCTGCTCTCTCTCTTGTCCAATCTCCCGGAGTCAGAACCGCAGTCATATTTTCAAGACCTGGACAACAGTCTCGTTCACCACGGCTGGAGCGGCTCGTGGTGGAACTACGCCGATGGCAATGCTGACGTTGTCCTTGAGCCAGCCGAGGGCGGTAGTTGCAGTCTTTCCCTGGTGACGTCTCGGGGTGGCGAAGTGACGAAGTCCAGGAGTCCAGATTCTCTCCCGATGAGCAGCGCGAGTTTGACGTTACAGACACAGCGCAGTGGATCTCCATGCTCGACATCACGGCCGTGTTTGTGCACCCCCCTGAGGAAGGCAATCGTCAGCGTTTGCAGTGCCCCATTCGCATTGCGTCTTCCAGGATGGCTCGGCGCTGGAAGCTTCAGGAAGGCATTTCCAACCGGGCGAAGGCCAAATCCCGGCGCCGTGTACGAGGACACGAGGGCCAGGGCACTCGCGAGCAGGCTGTGTACGCGCCAACCCCGCAGACGGAGTCTGTGATGCCTTCCTCTCCGTTTCCTCCCTCCTCTGGCGTTGCGTCTGGGGCGATCGAATTCGGGGCGTTTTTTTTTTTTTTTTTTTTTTTTTTTTTTTTTTTTTTTTTTTTTTTTTTTTTTTTTTTTTTTTTTTTTTTTTTTTTTTTTTTTTTTTATATATATATATATATATATATATATATATCAGTTACACGTATGCACTGGCACGTCGGGGTATAACCCAACGTCGCTTCGCGCTCTCCCAAGCCATGGTTCCAACTTCGGGCCCGCCCATAGCAGTCTACCTGTGGGCTGTTCCCGGTATCTTACTCCTCTTCTTCTTTCTTCTCCTGGCGGTCTGGCTGTCTCTCTGCCTTCTTGCTGTTTTGGTCTCTTCGCCGTCGCACGAAAGGGTGGACCTGGCCGCCGCTTTGCACTGCTCGGGACAGGGGTTCCGCCCACCATCTCTAGGCTTGCTTGGTGGAGTCATCGTCCCATCAGTTGGGGAGCTGGCAGTTGTCATCATCACGTGTCTTCTCTGGGGGAAAAAAAGGAAGGATGTCTCGGATCACCCCTCTGTCCTGGCGGTCGCGCAGAGTGCGCCGCAGCGTGGTTTCCACTCTGGCCAGGGAGGTGTCCGCTCTCAGCTCTGCCCTCGCTGGGGCGGAGTGGCTTCAGATGCTTTACTGGGATGTCGTAGACGGATCTCTCCTCACGGAGGCCTGGCGGCAGCGCGTCGGTCCGTTGTTTTTGTCGTCAAGAGTGCAGTTTGAATCGCCAGCCAGAGGGAAACGTGTCGATCGTCGATGCTACGGGCATCTTTGATACCTTGGACCGTACCACCGCAGGGTCAAAGGCCGATCGCCGAACCTCGATTGAGTTGTCGATCTGCCGGGATTATATCTCTTTCTCGGGTGGGATGCGCCGTCCGCTGGGTACCCCATCCTGTTATGCTTGTGGACCTATGACCAAGGCAGATCTCGCGAAGAGCAAACGCTGCCCAATTTTCGCTGCACCAGAATGGTATGCTGAAGATAGCCTCCGAGAAGACGTCGCTGGATGAGCGACGTGACGCTCCCTAGAGCAAGGCACAGTATCGTGCCACCTCGCTCCGTCAACTTGCGGCTCAGTTCCGGGATCCTTGCGAGGTCTGTTTTGGTTCGGTCGTTGCTCCCTCCTCTCCTTCTCAGTGATCCGTGAGTTTTGTTGGTGCCGACGAGGTGCTAAGTCATCTTGTCAAGCGCCCCTCTCGTTTTAAGCTTAATAGATGTCTTGGCTCAAAGTTGGGCCCAACTGTGAGGTTGGGCTCTGTGGGTCAAGTCCAAACATCATGGGTGCTTTGTGGTTTTCTCTGCTTATATTCCTTCCGTCGCCTTTGGCTTAGGGGCACCCCCAGATTCCTACGCATGCTTGCCCTCGTACTGATAACAAGTCATCATCCTCTCGTTGTTCGGTGTTGTTCTCAGTCGTTTTGAACTCACACCCCGCTGGCCGGCCGGCAGAAAGCTGCATGGGAAGGCCGGGTGAGAGGCGGCCCGGATGCCTTCGGGCGTCTCGTGCCGCGGGGGTGAAGCGTCAGTGGTGGGGGGATCGAGGGGTGCGGGGGCGGGGCCCTCACGGTGCTTTGGAGCGCGGAGGGGCCCACGGTGTGTGTGTGTGTGGGGCGGGGGGGAGGGGGAGATCGACGGCTGCAGGAAGGGGGCCCTGAGCGGGGGGCCTTCCTTGGAGTCCAGCGAGGCCCCTTGTGGGAAAGGGGGGGATCGAGGGCTGCGGGAAAAGGGCCCTGAAGGGGGCCTTGGAGACTGGCCGGAAAGGCCCCCCCGGGCCCCGAAGGGCACTTTGCGTGCCTTTTCGTTGCCCTCGTCGCCCCCCCCGGCCGAATCTTCGAAAGCGATGGCGGGGCCGAGCCCAAGTTTTTGCTTGGAAGTGGCGCTCGCGCATCGGCGCGTGGCGCATGTTTGATCTTCGCCATTTCTATCGAAAATGCGGCCGCGTGCGAGAGTGTTGCATCATGCTCTCGCCGCAGCGCCGCGCATTTATTTTTGGGAGCCCGGCACGTGCTCACCAGTCGTTGGAAACAGGGCCGCGCGCAATCGCTCTCCGTTCGCTAGGTGGAAAAGCGCCAATCTCAATATTCAGTTGTCCCGTTGGGAGTAGACGGGGCCGTCCCCTCGTTCGATCTGGCTGGCTGAACTCGTATTTCGCCTCCTTCCTCCTCCTCCTCCTTCTCCTCCTGTTCCTCCTCTTCCTCCTCCTCATCCGCCTCCTCTTCCTCTTCCTCCTCCTTCTCCCCCTCCGCTGAGAGGAGTCGTGGAGGAGATGTCCCCCCCGAGGTTTCATGTCGCCCGACGCGGCGGGAGTTTTCCGCCCCGCATCGTCAGGAGCCGCGCAGGGGGGGGGGGAGGCGGCGCCAGGTTCGCCGCCGTGGGCTATTTCTGCTGCTCCTCCTGCTCCTCCTCCGCCCCGCCTCCTCCTCCTCCTCCTTCTCCTCCTCCTTCTCCTCCCGATAGTGGTCCTCCTCCTCCTCCACCTCCTCCTCATCCTACTTCTCCTCCTCCTGCGTGTCATCATCCTCGCTCGCTCGCTCGCTGGGGCTTAACAGGTTGTGCCCGTGCCAGAAAAGGAAGAGAGACAAAGGTGCATGCATCGGGCTCGCGGATTGGAACCGTCAGGGTAAAGCCGCCGCAGTCCCCCGCGAGCCCCACGGGACACCCACATCCTCCTCGTCCTCTTCCTCCTCCTCGTCCTCCTCGTCCTCCTCCTCCTCATCCTCATTACGCGCCTCCTCAACCTCCTCCTTCTCCTCTTCATCTCCGCATCTCTCCTCTCGCTCCTTTTTCATATTGTTATTATCAGTCTTATTATTATTATTATGATTATGATTATTATTATTGTTATTATTATTATTATTATTAATTCTTAGTATCACTAATACTACTAATAATGTTGTTTATTATCTTTCTTCCTCTTCTTCCCAAAGGAACGATGGGAGCGACAAATGGTGAACGCCGTTCAGCGGACAACCTCGGGGGGGAGGGTTCGGGGGTTCGAAATCCAGCGAAGTTAGAAGTGGAGAAAATGCAGTCGAGACGGTCCCTGTAGAGATCTGATGTGCGGATGTTCGGGACGGCGCAAGGTTCCAGAAAGGTGCCCGATGCTCCCACTGCAGAGGCCGATTTGGTGTGAGGAGGTTACACATGGTGGGCAGCACTGCCGAATGATGGTAGCTTAGCAGGCTGGAGTGATGATCTATCTCATCAGGACAAAATCAACCTTGAGGGGTTCCCTTGCCTTGGCCCCGTCGAAGTTGTCTGAACCTGCGGCTGTCGGAGTTAATGCATTCGGGGCACTGCCCCGTCTACTGAGCACGCGTCATACAGCAACAAACATATACAAACCTCCCCGCCAGCAAGATGTCCGGCGCCGCCGGCGACCCCAGCGCGTGTTTTCAATCTTGAACGCAGGCGGCGGCCCAGAATCGGTCGATATCGAACATCGTGCGCTGTCGGAACACGGCGGTCGCTTTTCGTTCAGCAACCGCGCGGTATCAGAAACCAATGCTGGCGTCGTCACGAAGCTAACCCGCCGTGTCACTGGCGGCGCTTCCAGCGCCGCCCCTGGCGCGCTCCGCGCGCCAGGGAGGGGTGTCTAGCGTAAATAGATCCAGGAAGTCCACGCGGACAGTCAAACGTTTGAATTCATGCTGTTTTGTGCTCCTCTACAAACGCACGAAGCCGATCAACACACGGGGAATGGACGTCCGAGCGATGGCAAGGTGCGAGGGCTGGGGTCCCCGCCCCGCCGGCCGAGCAGGAGCGCCGCAGGCTGCTGCGATGCCGCCCGCCGAGCTGGCCGGCCTTGCCCAGGACGCGGGTTCCACCGCTGTTCGGGACGATCGCGATCGGTGCGGAGACAACGGGGCCATTCTTTCGATCTTAGGAGAAGAAGAAGGAAAAAACAAAACAAACATAAACTTTTGGCGCTCCGCGCGGGTTTCTTGGATCCGCGCCAGAGCCCCCTCCCTGGCGCGCGGAGCGCGCCAGGGGCGGCGCCGGAGGTGCTGCCAGAGGGGCCCAGCGCGGATCCAAGAAATCCGCGCGGAGCGCCAACAGTTTATGTTTATGTGGTTGTTATTGTCCCCTACATAGGCTCTGCCTAGAAGGTTTCTTACTCTCTTAGCGTATTAAAGGGCCGGGCAGTGCTACACGCCCTGGGCGGTTCCCCCGGTCCCCTGGGAGCGGTTCCCCCAGTCCCCTGAGAGCTTTAGCTTTAGCTTTAGCTTTAGCTTAGTTTTAGCTAGCTTAGCTTTAGCTTAGCTTTACTTTAGCTTAGCTTTAGCTTAGCTTTAGCTTAGCTTTAGCTTAGCTTTAGCTTAGCTTTAGCTTAGCTTTAGCTTAGCTTTAGCTTGGCTTTAGCTTAGCGGCACCTTAGCTTTAGCTTAGCTTTAGCTTAGCTTTATCTTAGCTTTAGCTTAGCTTTAGCTTAGCTTTAGCTTTAGCTTAGCTTCAGCTTAGCTTTAGCTTAGCTTTAGCTTAGCTTCAGCTTAGCTTCAGCTTAGCTTTAGCTTAGCTTTAGCTTAGCTGTACCTTAGCTGTACCTTAGCTTTAGCTTAGCTTTAGCTTAGCTTTAGCTTGACTTTAGCTTAGCTGCACCTTAGCTTTAGCTTAGCTTTAGCTTAGCTTTAGCTTAGTTTTAGCTTAGCGTTAGCTTAGCCTTTACCGTAGCTTTAGCTTAGCTTTAGCTTAGCTTTAGCTTAGCCTTTACCGTAGCTTTAGCTTAGCTTTAGCTTAGCTTTAGCTTATCTGCACCTTCGCTTTAGCTCAGGTTTAGCTTAGCGGTAGCTTAACCTTAGCTTAGCCTTAGCTTTGGCTTAGCTTTAGCTTAGCTTCATCTTAGCTTTAGCTTACCTTGAGCTTAGCTTAGCTTAGCTTCAGCTTACCTTTAGCTTAGCTTTAGTGTAGCTTTAGTGTAGTTTTAAGTTAGCTTTAGCTTAGCTTTTGCTTTACTGTTCGCACTAATGCTGCTTTCCTAGGGGCTCCAACTCCTATGTAGGGTCGCACTGGGATAATTTTTTCTTCTTCGAGATCCCCTGGCCATAACGGCCGTTGCCAGGGGGAGGGAGGGGGCAAGGGGGCCAGTAACGTCACGATTCGCGCTGGCGCCGTCCTGGAATATAGCCACCCCCAGCAATTCCCAGACGGCGCCGGCGCGAACCGCGACGTTACCAGGAGGGGTGGGGAGGGGAGAGGAGCATCCCCGGTAGCGGCCGTTACAGCGAATCGCAAAAAACGCGCTCGTGGGCACTGTTCCTCAACAGGGTTCGCTGCCAGCGTCGCCGCGGTCTTTACCCATTTGAGGCAGAGGACCGCCTGCCCAACAGCGGCCGCTGTCGTTGTTGTTGGGCATCGTGCCCGCTTTTCCCGTACAGTCCCGTACAGTCAACGCGCCTTGTAAGGACGCGCGCCTTCATCTAGGGTTCCCTTTTGCCCTTGACTCTGCGGCCCGTCCTCTGCGGTTTTCACCAGTCGCCCACCGCCTGGAAAATCTCAACTCCGGCCTCCAAGGCTCTTGCGTCCTTGCCACGCGTCCTTAATACAGCAGGTCCGCGTCGTGTCGACCGGCGGCGACGCCGCCGCTGACGTTCAAGGTTGAACGCCGCTGGCGACCCAGAATTGGTCGGCGTTGGGCGATCGGACCTTCCGCCGCGCCGTCCCGGCGCCGCCTCCCAGGCAGGGCAGGAGCGTCAATATTCGTGGAGTCGATCATCCAGCACAGGTCAGGTATAGCCAGGACCCCAGGTAAGGGGACCTGGTTAGTAGTAGGACCCCAGAGCCTCTAAATTGGCCAGAATCCCTAAACCAGGTCTGCCGTAGCTGGTGCTGTTCGGATGATGGCAGTTCCGGTTTGTGGAACGGGGCCTTGGGGGCGCCCTCCAGTACACATCACTAAACCAGTTCCCACTGAACCCAGTTCTGCCAACGCCCGAGCAGGGGGGCCATACGGGGGGGCAGTGTGCGTGGGGGGGGAGGCTGACCGCCCCAGCCGCTGCGCGGTGACGCCCGCCATGCGAGCGGCGCCCAAAAAACAAGGTCGCCTGTGCCGACATTGGCGCGTAAGCTGCCCGCGTAAGGTCGCGCGTAAGATGTGGCGTGCCGTGCGGGCGGCCCGCGTAGGCCACCGCGTAATGTCGCTACGTCATCTCGCGCAAGGCCCCTTTTTTATCGTCGCTTGTGTGAGCGCCCTTCACCCCCCCCCGTCCTCCCGCCCCGCGGCCGCTTCCGCCTGTCTTGTCCACCTCCTGCCGCCAGTGAATATGCGCCGTCCGTTACCCGGGGCGCCCATGCGCAAGACATGGGGGCAATGCCTACATGCAGGCGACGAGCAAGGGGCAGCACATGGGGCGTGACTCGGCGGGGGTGGGGTACGGTGAGGGCCCTACGGGGCCTGTGCCCGCCGCCGCCCCCTCGACGGTTGTCCGCAAGTGGGCGATGTTATATACGTGTTAGCCCAGCGGCTTGCGGCAAGTGCCGCCACCGTTCCAGCCCAGCGGTATCGTTTACTTAACCAATCCCCATCCGCATCCCCATCGAGACCCCCACCAAGTTACCACCCCAGTTGGGGACACACCCCTCGAAGCCTGAAGGGAGCGACTTACATCCCCATCTAGGGGGGTTAATCGACCAGTGGGGCCCAGGCGACGCCGCTGGGGATGGGGATCGTTTAAGAATAATCAATTGTCTTCGGCAACCAATCATGGGAGCTCCGTGCGCCCTCGCAGTTCCGCTGTTGAAGTGCGCTCGCGTGCGCCAGCGTCTGGCAATCCATGGGGAAGCCCCGATCTAGCGTCGCTAGCATCGGTTTAGCGTCTAGTGGCGTCGATTCATTTCCGATTAGCGTCGACGCTCCTCGATTAGCGTCGGTAGCGTCGATTCGCGAGAGAAAGCAAAATGGTATAGGAGGCTCCTTTGAGGTGCCACCGAACTTTGCTCGAGGGGAATCTGAAGGCCGTAACATGTGAACCGAGCGGCGGCGGCGGGAGAAACGATCACAACGTCGTTATTGGTCATACCTCGTCCGTCTTGAGTTTGTCTTCGATCATCAGAGGTCGTCCTGGGCCGGAGTAGGAGGATGAAGGACACGGTGGGAAGGACGGAGATAGTCAGCAGGAGGAGGAGGAGGAGGAGGAGGAGGAGGAGCAGAAGACGGAGGAGAAGCGTAGTAGTGGAGAAGTGCGATGTGGAACATCATGATCGTGGTGATGTTGAGGAGGAGCTCAGCTGGGGCCGTCCTGGGGCTATCTTGGGCTCCTGTGGGGCAGTATTTGGGCCTTTTCGGGCCGTTTGGAGGCCCTCTGGGACCGTTTTGGGACCCTCTTGGGCAGTCGTGCGGCTTTCCGTCCGTCTGGAGTTGGGACCGTCCTGGGCCGTCGATGGACTCTCGAAGGCAGCCTTGAGTCCCTCCAGAGATCCTCTTGGACAGGTTGGGGTTCTCTTCGGCCGTATTGTGCTTTCTTGGGCCGTCCTCTGACCGACTGGGGCATATTGGACCGTCTTGGGGCCATCGCAAAGGTATCTAGGACCGTCTTGAGTTGAAGGAAGCCCAGACAGGTGAAGACGCTACGTTACTTCTAACCTATGTGAAAGGTGCGTTTGGCCTCTTCGGGGCCCAAATGAAGGTCCTCTGGCCGCCCTCTTGGTCCGTCGTGTGGGCCTCGTGGACCGTCTCGAGGCCACCCTGAGCCGTCTCGGAGGCATTTTGGGCCATGTTGGCGGTCTGGGTGGCCTGCCTCGGCCGTCTTAGGAGCTCAGGGGTGCGGGTGCAGATCTGTGTTGCGCAGGAGCATGGCAAACAGTTGAGGCCCATGCCAAGAAACACCCTGCTTGCCTCCATGGTGCCCTGGGTTTCTGGGTTTCGATGGTTTTGCTGTGGAGAGCGCGACGTTCCCACACCAAAAGTCAATGGACGTCCTGGGGTCTCAGGGTTGGATTTCTTGTGGGAGTTTTTTTTTGGACTGGCCTCCAATGTAACATCGCCCCGGGAGCGCGGATCCATCGTCTTTTCGGGATCTCTAAGGCCACCGTTGGGCCCTCTTTGGCCGTCGTGGTGGTACATGTAAGCGTAAGGCCTCCTGGGGCCGTCTGGCGCTGAGGGGAACCCGAAAAGCTCACGACGCGAATTCCTTAAGAAAACTACAGGGTAATCGATGTTGTTTGCCTTTTCGGGCCCAGGTTGGGTCCTCTGGTCTCTCGCTTGGGCTGTCTTGGGGGCCTCTTGGACTTTCTGGAGGCCCTCGTGAGCCGTCCTGGGGCCATAATGGGCCGTCTCGGAGACATCTTGGCAGCTCTGGTGGGTTACCTCGACCGTCTTGGAAGCGCGGGAGCGCAAAGCAATATGCTGTTTTGTAAGGCGGGCACGCAATACGCTTGCACATCAGGAGAAAACGCGCTTCGGGGAGGGAGCAGTTCGCAGTGTTAGCGCTCTCGACAGTGGATATCCGAACGCACGTGCTCTCTGGCGTGATCACGGGCGGCGCCGCCTGAGCGATTGGGAGTGGCGCCGAGGAGCGCCGCGGGGAGATGCGCGCGCATATGCTCGATCCCTGGTTAGTTTATTTATGTTTGGTCGGCGCGCGGTCGGCGCGCGGCCATGTCCGCGCGCTGGCCTGCGCGCGCTGCTGTCAGTGGCGCGGTGGAACGCGGGCCATCTTGGGGCCGTCGGGGGCGCGCGCGCCCTTCCGGCTGGCGGCGCGCGGGTGGGCCCCGTCATGAGCCGACGCGGAGGCGCGCGCAGCAATTTGGCGCGGGGTGTCGGGGCGGGCGGCCCCAGCAGTGGCCGTCTGGGGCGAGCGGGGCCATCGGGCTTGCGC